GTTCAAGCACTGGTGGTACCGTACATGGTTTCAGGGTGGTGTAGGGATCGAGCCCTGTTATCTGCATCTGTCACTGCAAAGGTGAAAACTGTTTCTTCCACCATCCCCAACAAGTCCTTTGGATTTTCAAAGTCTTCACCGATTTCCTCTCCTGTGCAGGGCCCTGTAAGGCAGATGCATCATCCTCTTTCGGCTCTATCAAACACTCGAAGAAGGATCCCTACGAATCAACGAAGCCATCTCCCTCACTCTTTGCAACACACAGCAGCTGCATGTTTTGATGAATGTAGATGAGTTTCTCCAAAGACTTTGGTGATAGGCTGTTTCTCCTATTGGAGCGGGCATAGTCCGTTGATGCCCTGATGTGTGTCGCTGGGGTTGCAATTGTCGACATTCCCATCACCCTGATGGCCTGCAACCGGGGACAATCTCCACCATGGGCAGCCCACCAGTCGGGCGGCATACGGCGCAAGGAGTCAGAAACAACTGCCATCTACATCGTCCGGTCTTTCCTTACTTTCTAATGCCTTCTGGGTCCCTTGTGGAACTCGTATAGATCGCCCCACAAGTCCCCGGACTCCTCACATCCCACATCCCACATCCCTCCGATTTGCCTGAAGAAGAAAGGCATAGCGTTCTGCAGGAGCGCGTTCTGCGGATCGCTGAGCCAGTGCGGATCTCTCCTTTTTTATCAAGAAGAAATATAGCTGCACGTTCAGGCTGCTGCATCATGTGAACACAGTCCTTCCCACTCTCCATGGCATCTTCCCTCTCATTCTTGGTGAGGATGCAGCCTCTGTCCCATCCCACCATTTTGTACAATACCTTCTTCCTATTTGCAGCCTATGGAGCATCTGGTAGACAGACCCAAACTGGACCTCTGTCTTAATGCAACAGAGACATTGAGTCTTCGACGGACATCACAAGTGTGTGTGTGGCACAGTGATTCCTTATAAACTTGACAATCGTGTTGGCTGTTTTCAGGGTGTCCTTGACACGTGCCAAGTTGCTGATGTCCGTCAGAAGGAGGCTGCGACAGTGAGCACCACAGGGAATCCACGTCACCTGCTCCGCAATTTGGTCAACACCACAGGTGTCTTCTTTTCCCTACACTTGTAGAAATTGCCATTTGGCGTGCAACATTTGGCCGATTCGGGCCGCCCGCGGCCTACCGGCCGACGGCCCGGATTTCCGCGCGATCTTAAGATTTTAAGACTCTAAGACTATAAGATCGCGCGGCGATCCAGACCGTCCACCTCGCCGGACGGC